ACAGCTTCCCGCCCACCAGCAGAGTCTGGGCATTGTGCCTGGCTCCTAGGTGGCCTGGGGAGGAGTGGGCCAGACTTCACACCAGTCGAACAAGAGAAGGCCCAGCCCTCCAGAGATTCCCATGGTGTTTGCCCCAAAGATAAGGGTGGTGGCTGCTGGTTTTGCTGTAGGGTGGCACCTACTTCAGTGCCTGGAACCTGAAAACTATCTAATAAGTGTTGAATGATCTCCTGGTTATATGTGTGCCTAAGCTTTTTAACTTTCCTTTGGGATAAGACCTTGGAGACCAGGCTGATGCTGGAAGCCATAAGGCAGGAGCCAAGCACTTGATGCAACATGGGAGAGTCCAAGTTTCAAGGTGGGAAAAGAGTGTGCCTGGGCAGGGCTGTCTCCAGGAGCAGTGTCTCTAGGGCACTGTCATTCAAGAACCTCAGTAGGCAGGTAGTGGGGGTCAAGAAAAATGTTTTTTTATGAAAATACCTCCAAAATCAGATAGGGAACCCTCATGTCATAGAGAAAGGGATTTGAAAGAACAAGACAATTCTCATACTGTGTGGGACCTGGCAGAGGACAGCAAAAGACAGGAGATCAAGGGAAGAAAGATGCCCAGTACCAATAAAAGGGGCTAGGCCAGGGATAGACCTTAGGCAAGGGGAACATGACAGAGAGGGAATCTTCATCCATTTCCTGTCATAACAATATCCTTGAGGCTGGGTAATCTATATTGAAAGTTTCATTTGGATCATTGTTCTGGAGGCTGTGGTGTCTTATGCTGTTTCAGCACATAGTACAAAGCAGAAAGTCAGAGAGGGTTGTACAGTAGAGGACACAGGCATCACTTTTTTTGGTAACTACTGGTCCTTGAGAGCAGTAATTCATATGAGACAAGCATTAGCCCACATAGAAGGCTTCATTCCCTGACCCCACACCTTGTACCACTTACCCTCTGGCATCTTCCTCAGAACCAAAATGCATTATGCCAGGATGGATCCTTGCCACCCCATGGCAGATGGGCTGCTATGTCCAGCTATCTCCCATGTCCACTGTGGTCGAAA